CCAGAAAAGCAGGGTCCAGGGGCTGACTTGCAGGCCTCACTACCAACAGTGGGGTCGAATCTGGGGTCTGGTTCCTGAGTCCATGTTGGGCCACAACTCCTTGGCAGCGAGTTTATGATGAAAGGAAAACACGCAGCTGACTAGGATTTAAGAGATTTGCTCAAGGTCAAAAGGGACACCTTCACGTGGCAAGCTTCCCGTGAAAGGCCCAGGGCACCCGCAGAATCAAAGCTATTTGTTAAGGCGTATCAGGCAGCCAAGAGCTTCCATTAAGCCCTGTTTGTAGAGAATTTAGGGAATTAAAATGAAATAGAAGGCATGGCCCCTTCCTTTTAGGAGTTTGAAGTCTAATGGAAGGAATAAAATACACAGGCCAGAAAATGGGACAGCTACAAATGAAAATAGATAGGAACATTTGCAGAATTGCAGCAGAAACATGCAAAGACGGTCACTGTTAATTGGACACGTACAGATATATACAGTTGAGCTAAAACAGCCGGCGAGTATCTGGGGGAAAAAAACAGAAGCCTGTGTAACATTGACGGTGTAAGTAAGGTTTTTAGAAAGAGATTTCAGCCTCAGGTCAGACCACTCGATGACCCACCACCGCACCTCCAGACTTCACCTCCCTGCTGTCAATCCTGTGTTGAGACTGACTGGGCCTTAGGCTGAAAAGGCAAGCAGGAGGCGAGCCAGATGCTTTGGATGGCGTGGGGAAGTGTGTGAGAATCTGTTGATGATTATCAGGATAGACAAGTACAGCTCCCTGAAAACCTGGACACGTGTCCCCATGCCTGTTGATGAGACATAGAAATGAGTTAGTCAGACTAGAGAGGCCGCACTGTGGATTCTGTCCAGGCGGTGATATTACTTTAATCTAAGGTGCAGAACCAGGAATAGCTCTAAGGAGTCTTGGCAACATTTGCCTGGGGATGCGCCTCTCTGCTGTATTCTTACACCCCATCCCTGGTCAACAGACACACTCAGCTCTTCCGGAGTGGAAGATGGAGGAAGTCAGGACCAGACATAAAGGATCCACCAGTCCACAGGCCAGTAAGAAAGGCCCTCTGCCCATCCCACCCTCTTCCTGCCTTGGACGGGGCGGCAGGCCCCGGCTACAGAGACGCGGCCGCCCGTTCAGGATCAGGGGTGTGACAGAGCGGCTGCCCTGATAAGGCATGCTCACAGGCCACAGGGAGCGCAGCTCAACAAACAGATTTTTGATTGCCTTTTCTGACATATTGCCCCAGACCTTTCTGTACCGTTTGCACAACAGCCTGGCATTCAGTGGGCAAACATAGCTGATGATGCTAAAATCGTTCCACTTTCTGTGTTAGAATTTCATCCTAAATGTGATGCTTCATTCAGTACGCAACCCCCGGGTATAAGCGTTGGAAGAGAAGGCAGAAGGCCTACAGTTCCTCAGGTCTCCCTTTTCCCCAGGCCCCACCATGAAGTGACATTTTTGTCCTAAACTCCGCGAGAAAATGACATGAAGTGTCCTGTGAACCCTCTCCAGCACGCTTCCATTTCCACAAACCCTGCCTGATAAACTTTCACTGGCTTGTATCAGAGTAGGAAAGAATTCTCATTGTGGCCAAAGGTGTGTGTTAAGTGGTTGCTAAAAGTGTTCTCCAGTTTACCTTGAAATAAAAGCCCCAAAGTGACCGCAGGGAAGGGGTTCCTCCTATCCCATTGCCTGTTTATACAGAATTAATTCTTTCAGACTACAAGCACAGAGCAAAGCAATATCACACTGAGAAAAGTGTGCTGAAAGAATTAGACGCACATTCCTAGGAAGTTGCACCTATCAATACTCTGTTTTATAAATTGTTAGTTTAAAAATTACTTTTGTGCTTTCTTTCATGATATTTGCATTTCAGAAAGCAACATTAATCTTTTCTTCACTTGGGGTATCATAGGGTAAAGAGCTTATCCTAGCAATGGATGAATATTTTGCAATTCCTGCTTATGCAAAAGTGAAACACTGCAGTAACATCAGGAATAAAGAATTGCAAACAATAGTGGCAGAAGTCCTAGAGACCTTCACTGGAGGGTCGGGATGGCCGCAAAGCCCCCTTTGGATCAGTGGCAGCGTTCACCCCGCTGTGTAGGCAGAGCTTTGACCCCCCAGCGCAGGCTCTGCCCCACCATGCAGAGAATGGTGTGTGCAGAGTGGGTGTCAGGAAGTAGCCCAGAATCTGTACAGTTTTCTTCACAATTAAAATTTCCTGCTAACAGTTTGTAAGTGGATTCACAAAAGGTTAATTCTACAGAGAGCAGGAGGGAACTAGCTGTTAAAAACAGGACAATCACAATTCACCACAGGAACATTTGTGGACATAAAATTTTGGCCCAAGGTACATATATTGAGTTGTGGATTATAGCCTGTAGTATAACTGTGGCCATCTACAATTAATTGAAAGGAAGTCATTTTCTAATTAGGATTGTCATCCATCTACAGCCTGGGGTTAAAAAGTAGGAAAGGGAAAAAGAAAAGACAAGAAAAAACCCTCTGCACACCAATTTCACGAACTTGTCCATTTTTAATGCTTAGCCAGGTTAGAGTAGTTCTAAAAGCTGAGATCTGCAGCCTAAAAATGTGAGTATGGAATTGATTCCCTTTTGTAAAATTAGATTATTGATTCTCTAAACATCTGGTTATCTCTGGGATTGAGTCTTATTACATGATTCCAAGAAAAGATGAAAATCAAGAAGTGCTGAATTTCACTCCATGATTTTTTTTTCAAGTACCTAAATATGGAGCCTTTATCCTTTGGAGCCCGATCTCCTCTTCCTCCTTTGAGAAGAGGCAGAGGGTGAGTAGAAGGAACACTGGCCTTTGTGTCAGAAGGTGGAGGGCTCACATCCACCCCCAACTGTCTCTGGACCTTGGACAAATCACTTAATTCCTCTCAGCCTCGGTCTCCACACCCATACAAAAGGGATAAGCTGTCACAGAGACTACCCTGGAGGTCCTAATGAAGGTAAATGACGCAGCACAAGCAGGGCTGACGGGGGGGGGCAGCCCCCTTGGTCGATGGCTCCAGCCCGAAGCTCTGCGCTTCTGCACCCCTGAGGAGTGATAACGGGGGAGGCAGCAATGGGACAGAGCGGCCGCTGTCTGCTGCTCTGTGGCTTAGGTGCCTTTACCTTCCCTTTTTCCTTCTTGTGTGTATTTAAGAGGTACAACATCTTACTCCTTGGAAGAAAAATTATCAGCAACCTAGCCGGCATATTTTGAAGCAACTCAGCACAGTGGAGCTGGAAGCATGGTCAGTGCATTGACAGCAGCTAGATGAGGGATGCCAGAAACACTTGCCAAAAAGGGCTGTGAAAAGGAGATGAATACTACGTAGAAAACATTAAATATTCCCCAAAGGGGCTTGGATGTAGCTGCAGTTGAGCCTCCCAATAAGCTTTTAGTTCAGAAGGAAAGAAAAATAGGTATGAAGGACCCTCAGCAATGGTCCTGAACACAGCAGGTTACTCACTGCCTACTTGGCATCAGGGTGCCTGCAGGCGGGCTCTGGCAGGCAAGGCCCTCTTCCTTGTCTTCTCTCCTTGCCTTTCTTAGCCCCTCTGTCTGTCCATCCATTCCCCAGGTACCAGAGCACCTACCTCGAGACATGCACTGTTGGCCCTGGGACTTCTGGGGTGGGCAGGACGGGCACGCTGCTGCTCACGTGGAGATCACGAAACTCTGGGGGCCACTGCTGCTTACCAGTGACGCAGGCAGGCACCGTGAGCTCTGGCAGGACAGGGCAGGGCAGGGTGAGGTGCACGCCACCAGCGGGAGAGTCTCAGGCAGGCACCATGAGCTCTGGCAGGGCAGGGCGATGTGCACGCCACCAGTGGGAGAGTCTCAGGCAGGCACCGTGAGCTCTGGCAGGGCAGGGCAGGACAGGGTGATGTGCACGCCACCAACCAGCGGGAGAGTTGCAGGCAGGCACCGTGGGGTCTGGCAGGGCAGGGTGAGGTGCACGCCACCAGCGGGAGAGTCAAAGGCAGGCACCGTGAGCTCTGGCAGGGCAGGGCGATGTGCACGCCACCAGCGGGAGAGTCGCAGGCAGGCCTGGGGCCAGCGGGAGTCCACAGGAGTGAGTGGCGCCAGATTCGAGACTCAGAGGGAAAGGGGGAGTTGGCTAAACAAAGGTGAGTGCCAACAGGACCTCAGAAGCTCTGTCGCGAAAGTAATCTGGCTAGCTCTTTTCTGTAAGCCCTATGGCAGTGGCCTCAGAGCCTGAATCGATTTACACTTGCTGTAGGTTAGGTAAGACTATACATTATTAAATCATGCCCTGGAAGCATTAGGGGGTTCCCTAGAGGTCTCGGGGCTCAGTGAGGGGAGGTGGGGGATGGAGGTGCAGGACCCGTGCCTTTTGAGGCAAGGAAGCTGAGCGGGGGACTCCCTGACCTCCTCTCCCTGATTTGACCAGCCCAGCCCTGCCCTTAGCTTTATGCAGTGGGAAATGCAGGTATGTATTTTCAGGGCATTTAAAAATAACGTTTGAACAGCTCTGGGATAGAATATGGATTTATTGTGCTGTCCTTAGTCACTCAGTCATGTCCAACTCTCTGCGGCCCCATGGACTTCAGCCTGCCAGGCTCCCCTGTCCATGGGACTCTCCAGGCAAGGATACTGGAGTGGGTTGCCATGCCTCCTCCAGGGGATCTTCCCGACCCAGGGATTGGACCCAGGTCTCCCCCACTTCAGGCAGATTCTTTACCAGCTCAGCCACCAGGGCAGCCCAAGAATACTGGGGTGGGCAGCCTGTCCCTTCTCCAGGGGATCTTCCTGACTCAGGAATGGAACCGGGGTCTCCTGCATCGCAGGCGGGTTCTTTCCCTGCTGAGCTGCCAGGGAAGCCCAGTAAGCCATGGGTTTGTTAGAGTTTCTTAATGTTACTGGTTTGGAACATTTCTTCATATTTGTGTGGCAGTCACTTCAGTTGTGTCTGACTCTTTATGACCTCATGGACTGTAGGCCGCCAGGATTCTCTGTCCGTGAAATTCTCCAGGCAGGAATACTGGAGTGCACTGTTCTTTAGTCAGTGGATAATGAGGAACTATACGATTTTTAAGTAAGGAGAAGAATTCTAATGGGGTAGTAAAAAAAAAAAGTTAGTTTGACAGCAGATTTTAAGATGGAAGAAGGCAGTATGAAATTAAGGGCAGGGAGATTAATTAAGAGACTACTTGGATAGTCCAAATAAGGGTGCTGAACTCTGGCAGTGGCAAATGGGCATGGGTGTGTGGGGTACGTGAGAGAACTGGGAAGATCAGGGGCATGTAACGTGAGGACTGATTAGATACGGAGGGTGAGGGACAGCTGGGAGTTACCGGAATAGTGATGCTAACTTAGACAGAGACTTTGGGAAAGGAGCTGGCTTGAGCGGAGTTCAATTCAGAGCATCCTGAGCTTTAAGTGACAGAGCATTTGGGAATAAAATATGAAATCAGGTAGGTAATATATGTCCTTGGGTGAAAGAGGGGCTAGGAGAAGAAATAAAGACTTGAGAGTTAACAGCTTGGAAGTGGTGGTTGACCCCTTGGCAGTGAGCTAGGTCTCTGAGGGGAGATACAGAAAGAAAAGGGCAGAGGGCTGAGCAGAGCAGTTTGGGAGAGCAGCTGTGTTTCCAGGATGAAGGAAGGAGGCCGCGGGAACGGGGGGAGGCAGAGACCCCAGAAGGAAAAAGCGGACTGGAATGAGAGCGTCTCCGGGCGGTCACAGGATGCCAGGACGTGTAGGCTGAAGACAGAGGCTGCCCAGTCTGTCCCTCGGTGGGGAGAGCAGGGCTCCATGCAGCCTGCAGTTGACCATCCCCAAGACCCTCTGCCCCTTAGTCACTCTCCCTGGAATCCCGCAGAAGCCTTGCAGACAGGGGTCTTTTCTGTCTTGCTCACTGCTGAGTCCCCAACACTGTGCAAGGGCGTCTGTGTAAGGTCTGCATAGCTTGTTAGCTACTCAAAGCACACCTGTTCAAAGACCCTCCACAGTTTGAAAACTGAGCTGCTCTTTCCTGCTTTCCCCTGTGAAAAGTACTAAGCTTTCTCCTTAGTACTCAGTACCTTACAGTTGAGTATGAATCTCTTAATTACTAGATACCAACTGTAAAATCAGGCAAATCACAATAACCGTGGCAATTGTCCATAGTAGTTCATTGTTTACACCCAGTTTCACTAACATTGCTATTGGTTATCATCACTGTGGACTTACTCTGTAGAACATAAGAAGAAGAAAATAAATAATGACTTCACTTTCATTTTTCAAAGTCACAGACTATGTTTCTAGGCTTCTCTGGAATGTCTCTCTATGCCTTGCTTTTTACGAAGGTCTCACTGAATTTAAGTGAAAGTGGAATCTTTGGTATAGGAAAAAAAACCTTGATAGCACAAAAATTCTGAGGCCTAGCTAAGGAAATTTACACCTCCTACCCTCCCTTCAGGACCCCCTACTTAGAGTCAAGTTATATAAAAACCACCACTCTCCTACAGGACTTAAAAAGTCAGAGTGATCAGACATCTCCTTGGTCAGCCACGTTTATCAAGCACATGCTATGTGTGTGCACAGAAATCGTGAGGAATATGAACAGGGGGCCCCTGAGTCCTAGGAGAGCTTTGTAATCAGGCTGCGAGCAGCAGAAGATAAGGCATAGAGACCTTCGATTAGGGCTTCTGGAGCCAAGACAAAAGCCAGAGAAGAATGAGGATTTATGTCATATTCCTGGATTCTTTGGGCTAGAGACATGTGGGTCACTAGGAAACAATATGGATTTGAACACACAGCCCTGTGGATCAGAGTTGGACAGCGATTGGACCGTATTAGCTCTTCTGGAGAATGAACCCTGGTGTGGGCATCAGGGAAACTGAAACCTGAGCCCAAGAAAAAGCAGTGTTAGTTCTTGTATTGAAAACTCCTGGTCTTGGTCCTGTGCGCGTGTGGGGCAAGGATTTTGGTTGGTATTTTAAAATGAAGAAGAATGTAGTTGTCGTCTGGAACACTGTCTCTTTGAGGTTTTCCAGGAGTCACCTGGGAGCTTTTCTACCCTCAGATTTTGGTAAACTTTGCTCAAATCCCTATGCTGACAACTGGAGGTTACTGCGGACTCAGCACAATTGCTGTTAATTTCCAGGCTTGTTTTTATTCTCTGTCTCCTCTCCTGCATCCATTTTACAATGTATTAATAGGTCCTCATCAAGCCAAAGGTCTAACTCAGGTGCAATACCCCCAACCCCTTATCAGCGTTCATAAGACATAGGATCACAAAGAGTGCATCACAAGTTTTGTAGCTTTATTGAATATTTGTTGTGACAAGGGGCCATGGGCAATCACATCTACCTGTTGACTGAGCACCTACTATGTTTTATAGATACAGCAGCGAGTAAGACAGTTTGGCTTTCTGGGGTTTCCAATCCGATGAGTGAGATAGATGATGAACTCCATGGAGGCTGTGGCCGCCTGCCACCTCTGGTTCCCTAGCCGTTCCACCCACCTCTTCCACTTAGGCCACTCTGCGATGCTCTGCAACCCTCTGACACCTGTGCTCTGACATGTGACATCCTCTCATCAAGCCAAAGGTCTAACTCAGGTGCAATACCCCCAACCCCTTATCAGCGTTCATAAGACATAGGATCACAAAGAGTGCATCACAAGTTTTTGTAGCTTTATTGAATATTTGTTGTGACAAGGGGCCGTGGCCAATGACATCTACCTGTTTACTGAGCACCTACTATGTTTTATAGATACAGCAGCGAATAAGACAGTTTGGCTTTCTGGGGTTTCCAATCCGATGAGTGAGATAGATGATGAACTCCATGGAGGCTGTGGCCGCCTGCCACCTCTGGTTTCCTAGCCGTTCCACCCACCTCTTCCACTTAGGCCACTCTGCGATGCTCTGCAACCCCCTGACACCTGTGCTCTGACATGTGACATCCGTGGCCTCTCGGTTTGCTCTGTCTTTCGGGATCCTCCAGCCTTGGGACCTTGGCGGGAATAATGTCTCCACCTTGTTACACAGGATTCCTCAGTGCTGAGGAACTAGGACATGGCAGACCTCCCACTGGAAGTCTAGGGTGATGGAGAGGACAATGGGGTCAATATGGAAATTGGTGTCAGCCAGCTCTGGGGTCAAATCTCTCTTGCTCTTGCTTGTTGTGTAGCCTTGACCATGTTCCTTCATCTTCCTGTGCCTTCATCTTCCTCATCTGAAAAATGGAACCATCAGGATCATCCTTTTAATGTGAGGGTAAAATTCAAATGTGACAACAAAGTTTCCAGCTCAGTAAAGACTGAGGGCAGGAGGAGAAGGGGACGACAGAGGATGAGAGGGTTGGATGGCATCACCGACTCGATGGAGATGAGTTTGTGTAAATTCTGAAAGTTGNGTGATGGACAGGGAGGCCTGGCGTGCTGTGGTCCATGGGGTCGCGAAGAATTGGACACGACTGAGTGGCTGAACTAACTGAATAGATGCACAAACATGACGGGTTCATTTCCTTCAGGTTCTGGAGAGATTCTGCGGTATATAATCACACCTCGGCCCAGACCCAAGAGAGGCACTTGGGCTAATGTGAGAGCAAGGAGGGTAGCACTTTCTGCCCATCAGGGCGGGGTGGGGGTGGGCAGCACAGAGATTCGTAGGTCACCCCAGGACCCTCTGATGAACGGCAGGCTGACCCCTTCGTGTGGTGAATTAGGTGGGACGTTTAGACGCGAATGCCTCCTTCCCGCAGACCTTGGGGCTGAGGCAGGAACTCTCACGCCCGCTCCAGCAGGGCGGGCTGTCGGTGGACCCGGGGCAGGAGGGCGGTCATCTGTGGGCCCCTGGGTGCGGCTGTGGCAAGGACGGCAGAGGATGCTGGGGAGACCTCAATGCCGCGCGGACCGTGGGGCTGGGTGTCTCGTGGGCTTAGGGCCAGGTCAGGAAGTGTCCCTGAGGACAGAGGAGGCCTGGCGTGGCTGGCCTGGTGGAACGGGACAGCTTCGGGAGGAGGGAGCCCCTGCCTCTCAGGGGACCCCGGGGCTGCAAAGCTGAGATGCTCAGACCCGCCAGCGGCTCTGAACGTTCTCGAGCCCAGGGTCCCCACTCACGGCCGCTGGTCTAGCGGCACCGAGCAAGCGCCCAGGTTGGAGGCAGGCCGGGCGTTTAAGTACTTCTCGGGCTTCTTCTGGCTTGGGGCAGGCCAGGCGTTTAAATACTTCTCGGGCTTCTTCTGGCTTGGGGCAGGCCGGGCTTTTAAATACTTCTCAGGATTCTTCTGGCTTGGGGCAGGCCTGGCGTTTAAATACTTCTCGGGCTTCTTCTGGCTTGGGGCAGGCCTGGCGTTTAAATACTTCTCGGGCTTCTTCTGGCTTGGGGCAGGCCCAGAGGGCCTTCAGTCCTAACTGCTGTGCGCGGTTCATGGACCACACCTGAGCAGCAGGGTCGGAGACTGACCGCCCAGCAGACACGTCAGTCTTCTCGATGGCATTCCATTTAACAGTTGTCCGACCTCCACTCGATCACCTTCTGCGAAAGGAATCCCTTCCCCTCTGATGAGGCGCATTCAAACTTTATCCCTCCTGGTGAACAGCGTATGTCAGTGTGATTCCTAAGTCCTGCTATGGGTATTTCTAGACTACTCTATCCGTCGGCAACTCTGCCAGTAAATCCTTTCTTATGTTTTCCTACCATGTGTCATTTTAAAGGCTGTAACACTAACTGTAGGTTTTCTGGTAGAAAATATGGAAAATATAGATCCATAAAGAGGAAAAATTCATAATAGAGCTAACACCAGCAACTAGAGACACGAGCTTTCGAAATATCAGTGTTTCCTCGGGCTGCTTCCTCGCCACACTTTGAAACCTGACTCTTGAGTGTCTCTCCCTCAGAGTCTCCGAGGGCGAGGCTCGGTGGCATCTCTCTGTCCTCTGACTGCTTCCGGCAACGGGCGGCGGCTCTGCTTCGCCCCGGGCTCCGAGGCCCGCCCTTCTCAACGACTCCGCAGCCCCCTCTCTGGACTGGAGCAGACTTTGGCAGAGATGAGGGGAAAACCACTCAGGCCCTCTGGGTGAGCTGGTGCGGCTGGTACTCACTGAGTTGGGGGCTATTTTTCAAGTCACCAGAACGGCTTTACAATGAGCCACTCTAGTTCCTTGACTTGATACTGCTTGTCACCAATAAACAAAGATTTTAAGGACTCTGTGACCACAAAACAGAATATTTTTCACTTGGCAAAGTCAACTGGCTCTCAGCCAGTCATGTCCTCACCCTGTCCAGCGTCATTAGTCTCCTGATCAGCTGGCGTGGGTTCCTGAATTATAACACCGAGAACCAGACCCTGTCTCCATCATTTCTTACTAAATCTGCAGAGTTGGACAGATTACTTTGCCCCTCTATGCCTCAATTTCCTCATTTTAAATGAGGACAGTAGTACTATTGCTGCCATTCCATAGAGTTCCTATGTGGATTAAATGTGTT